AAATCCAAATTCCTTCAGATTCGAATCAAATCTGAATATAAAACCGAATCCACTGAATCTGCACAATCTGAAACATAATCATAAAGAAGACAAAAGGATTAGCTCTGTAATGATAAATCTATTGTTTTTAGATAGTCAAAAACTTTTTTTCACCAGGCGTATAATCAATTTAATTAGATACATCTGTACATACGCATATACAATGACGATGATACTAATTAAATCTGGAGTTAGCTTTCATTCTAATTTAGCCAATCCAATAAAATATTTTATATACAGAATAAAACCTGATATCGACTTAACAATTCAGATTTAAATCCGAAGCTAGAGATCACTAATTAAATAAATTTAGATTTAAAAAATAAATTTGGTTCCAAACTCTAACCGTAGCATCATTAACCTTCTCGCTGTAACCTTTATAGAACCCGATCGAAAAATAGGGTTACTTGATGATCTCTTATATAGCAGTATAGTGATCATTGATAACCCGTGACTCAGTACCATGTGACATTGTGAATTGATACTTATCTGGTCCAAATCTTGATTCTGTGATCTCTATAGCAAGACTTGTTGGACAAAGAACCCTAATTATTCTGTAGAGCCTGGATTTGTGCCATATTTTCCTGGAAATACACCCTTTCAACTTACTAGTACAAATATATATAGTGATTTAAATAAATAATTTTCTTTTGGATAAAATATACAAGATGGCAGGAGCATACGTACAAGATTGAATAGTGAAGAAAACAGATATGCAAGTATTACCATTACTATATAATGAAGAAAACAGATATGCAAGTATTACTATATAGCAAAAATTAGCTCAAAAAGCAAACTACTGAATGATAATAATATGATAATTCATTCTGAAAGGATTTGATATGCCATGATTCTAAAAATTAGAGACTAATAATAACTTATATATAAGATCATAAATGCCTTCTACGTTGAATCATAAAAACTTTCAAGTTATATATGTCACTCTCTATAACGACATTTTTTTAAAATTTTGTTTCTATAGACTTAATATGGAAATGCCTCTAGTTAAGCCGACATCTGGATATACCAGACAATTTTTTGAATTTTTTGAGGTGTTGATAAAATCAGAGTGACGTATAATCTTGCAACTATATTGTTTGCAAACAATTAATACTAATAATCGTATAAACAAAAATCAAATAAGTGAAATAAATTTTTGCAATTCAGACTAATTTGTATCATAATATGAGCAGAAATAGCAAATTTATAGCCAATTAGTACTAACTAGATGTAAATGATAATACTATAACATCAAATTTATTTTTTTTATTTTCAAAAGAGCAAGTTCGAACATTATGTCTGTAATTTTCATAGTTTGCACATTTATTTTTATTCTTTTCTTGTGCCTTATTGTTATTCATAGTTTGAATATGCCTTTTTTGCTGAGTATTCATAGTATGTTTTAGTGCACTTTTGTATCATTTAGGTGGGTGTCCACGATGTTTTGTCACAAGTGGATTGGTAATAGCAGGTTGTAATTCAATGTTACTAGCATTTCTATTTTCTTTTGAATGTTGTAGCTTATACATTTTAGATGAAATAAATTCTTCCATCATGCCAAAAAATTTGTCATTACAGTTATGGCATATTGTTAGATCAAGTGCTTTTTTTGCTATTCCATGCCCTTTAGACCAACGTGCTTTTTCACTGACAGATTTTTGCAAGGAAGGAGTAAATACATTAGCAATATGGAAATGAGACAAGTACCAAAAATCAACTGTTTGGGGGATAGTATCATATGTTGAAGATTCATTTAATTCATACAACTTAATAGGCAGAAGCAAAGCAACAAAATCCTTATCAACGCTTATTTGACTGTTCTTATACCAACGAGCCAATATCAAAGAAATATGAAATATGGCATAATGTAATTTCATTAATACTTTAATAAAATGATGACAGACAATTCCTTTACTGACCAAGGTAAGACAGGTACACAAATGTGTGCCATCTGTAAGTATTATTACATGGTGGCTAAAGTGGCCTGGAAATATTCCTTGTAATACTATGAACCAGATCTGCACAACGTTGTTATATGACAAAGGTTGTAGTAATATGTTAAGGCATGTTTGACGTCATTCATAGTCATTCTCTAAATATCCATTCTCTATAATATTTGCTGGTTCTGGGGTATTATTATCCCACTTATAAGTTATTTCAGATGCATCATATAAGAAACTTTCAGAAAGTTGCTGCTGTTGAAGGGAGAGAACATGCGGAGTTAAGTATTTTTGAATTAATAAATCAATAGCAGGGAAATAGTGATTAGCAACATGAGGCAAGCCTATAGATAGATTAATATTTTTCTGCTCATTTATTCTTGCATAGTATGCTTCTTCATCCAAACAATTTTGTATAGCATCAATCAAATATAACAATGTTGAACTATGTGATACCTCTTTTTTAATAATTGCATTCATACTTTCAACTCTTTGAATACTTTGAATTCCAGCTGTAAACCTTGTTTGTGTATAGCAGACTGCCCAGCTACAATATATAGGATAAAGTGTTTCAAGTACATATCATGATGCCTTAGGAAATGGATTAAGGAATTCTACAAATTCTATCCAATGACGCTCAAAATCAACTTCAAACAAACTATTCCAAGATCAATAAAAAAGCATGTGACACTCTCCGAATTTTTTACCCATAATGGCCTTCAGTTTTTTCACAAAATTATTATTTAGATAAAAAATACAGTAAGAATGATGTGTATCAGGCCACATAGTTCACAAAGCTGCACTCATAGCTGAATCAGCATCTGTGTAAACGGTCCTTGGAATGATTTGATTCGTTGTATTATTCAATTGCTCTAAAACCCTAAAAAATTGTAATATTGTTAAAATAAGAATTATGAGAGTATAAAAAAAAAAGCTAATAAGACAAATGAACAATAATAATAAAAAACTGATATTTTCACACCCATGTCAGATCCTGCCTACCCTACACGGTTATATAATGTGTATACGTATAAATTTTTTTCAAAATTCTTTGCAAGTAATTGTTGCTTTCAGGTATAATAGTGCTTTTTTGCATTTGTATTACTATTTACAAAATTTTATAACAGAACATTTATTCATATTTGGGGATTTGATAATTAATATTTGTAGTGATCTAATTTTTTTGACATAAGCTGAAAATTAAAAATTGCTAAGCCGTGTTTGTAGTCAACCTAAATTTGTTAACTCGATTACAGCTGTTATCATTATTCCTGGAACACCTTATGAAAAATTAACCGAATGATTATTCTGCCGATTCGATCTAAAGCTTGGTATGTACTCGATTTGTAAATTAAATTCACGTGAAACTACAAGGCTTCAAACGATCTCTACTTTCACATCCTAACTAAAGTTCTATTTCAAATTGTAATTCATACAAAAATCAGTTTGGCTTTTCTTCCATTAAAGTCTTAATATATTTTGTACCATTCAAGTTCAATAGACACGGTTTTTTTTAAGTGGCGGAAGTCTTTTAACACATCCATATCTTTGAAATTGTTGAAAACTCAACATATTGAAGATCTGCTAACGCCTAAGTGCTTAGCAGTTGTTTAAATTTAGACTACTTTCTAGTGAATATACTTCTAAAGTATAATACTTAACTAGAGCTATATCGATATTGGTTATCTGATCATTATTTAATTAATAATTGTCATTGCTATACTATAAATAGAGGTTATTTAAAGCCTTACAACTGATTAGCATCTACGTACGTACGTACCTGGCTTTATTTAGACTATCTTTGTAAATAATAAATGTTATATTAATTATACCGAAATCAATAACTTATCGAATCAGAAAAATAATCATTTAGTTAATTTTTCACAAGATGGAATAATGATAGCAGCTGTAAGTCGAAAATTAAAATTTGCTGAGCCAGCTATGCAAGGTCAATTAGTATGTAGTTTGTAAAAAAAAAAAAAAAAACCATTTCCTAAATTTTCTGCTATCCACTATTGTGAAGTAGTTTGATTGTCTAAATCTTCTAAATTCTTAGAATATTTCCTATATACATAGCCAAGAATCGACTAAGTCAATTTTTTTAAAAAAATCGACTGACTTAGTCAACTAAATCGATTTATTGACTAATGCCAAACCGATTGCAACCACTAACAATTATTGACTAAAGTACAGACGCAGGAGTATGTTGCAAAATCTAACATAGGTGTGAAACATCAAATTTCTAATAATATAAATATAAAAAATATTAACCATTCAAAAGAAGCCAGAGTTTCATCTTCTAATAAAGCCTGTGCAACTACACGTGAATGGGTATCATTATCTATGATTAAGAAAAGACACAACAGCATATCATAGCGATTTGTTTTGCAAGTATTATCAGTTATCACAACATCACAAAATTATATCCATAATGATACTTGTAAAGGAGACATCCAAAAAAGTGCTGTCAACCTATTTTCTTCACCTTCAATATTAGGTACAACTACCCATCCAGGATCATCAGCTCTTAATACTATTAATTGTTGTAGGGTTTCCACAGCACCAGTTTTTACCTTGGCATATGACGGTATTCGGAACCTCTGAATAGCATTATATAGATCTTTCTTATCAATATACTTGCCAGGGTATTTTGCTTTTAGAAGATTAAATTGCAATTTAGCACTGATGCCTTCTATTGAACATGTATAAAATTCTATATCATTTAACATTTCACTAAATAATTTACAAAACCGTGGTGCTGTCTGAACAACTATAGGATTCATTACATGATTGTGCTTATCTTCCAATGTAGTACAGACAATTTGGGTAGTATCCTTTTGATTATTAAAATTTATATGCTACTGGCAGCTAATTGCCGCAGATTTATGATCACGCTGTTTGGTATTATCAACTATTTTTTTTGCTTTATGTACCTGTGAATGTGAACATTCATAAGTATGGCGACGACTAATCAAATGGTTGGGATGA